TTTGGCACATAAAACAAAAAAAATAAGTCAAAAAGTCCTAACAAACATAGATTCGAAAACGAACGATTGCCTTCAAATCGACTTAATAATAATGTAACGCAGGAAAAACGCATTTACTGTTTATTTTTTAATTATTCTTATTTATTTTTATTATTCTTAAAGTACAGGTTCGAAATGTCCACTTTCCATATCTAAACAAACTTTACATCTTCTCAAGAAAGATGCCCTCGCTCTTTGAAAAGCCAGCTTATTTGGAAATGTATTGTTTAAACACAAAGACTAAGAGATATCTTGGCGTTCGTTTTCGAACCTATATTTATTAGGACTTTCTGACTTATATTTTGTTCTATATCAGGTTTGTCCAATTTGAACTCCAAAGTTAAAATGCAAAGCCAATATTGACGCAAAAAATTCAATGTGGGCAAGATTTCGAGAATTGTTAAGTGTTGATAAGTGTCACTCCGTGTATCAACACTTTACAGTCTCTGAAATTTTACGCACATTGAGTGGAATTTAAATTGGACAAACCTGTTCTATATGTTCTTAAAGTCTGATCGCGCGCGCGCGTGTGTGTGTGTGTGTGCGAAATATTTATATTTGTCGAATATAAACCCCATAAATATGAACGTACGTACATGGTACTTTACGAATGCCAAAGCAGATGTTCAAAAAAGGAAGAAGACGGACGTGTCTATCGGCGAGAGAATGAAAACTATCCAAGCAAGCGAAACAGGCGAAGACAGACGCGGACCGTGACCGTGTCTGCGACACAAGTTTACCTTACCTATATATTTGAATAAAAGGGGGCGATCTCCTATCAGGGATGGGAAATAACTCGTTACTTGATTTTAATAAAGTTAATTATAATTAAGAGAGTTACTTTTTTTTGATAATCGTAACTTAACTTAGTTACGTCTTTTAAGTAACTAATGACGAATTTAATAATTACTTTATGTGTATTTCAAATTCATTTGTCAACTTATTTGTCAATTTAGTATCCACTCGACAAAAACCTACAAAGGCTTTGAAACATTCCAATTGATCAATCAGGGAATGCTTCAAAACATTGACTGCAGAAAAAGCAGCTTTGCAATTGTACGATTCTTCAATAATCAATGAGTTCAAGACGGCGAGTTCAAGACGGCAAAGCGGCTAGGCATACTTATCGAGCGATTGTATATGATTGATTGGATCTATAAGTAACAAGCAATTATGTCCGTTTGCTTGGCAAACAGGCTAGTCGCTTTATCAACTTGAACGCGTCCAATGATTGGTCTATACATTTAGATCTAGTAAGGAATTGAGAGCAAGAACAATCACATTAAAGAATTTTACAACAGTTGCAAAGCTTGAAAACGGTAACTTTTGTAACTTTTCCATATCTGTCTCCTACAGATTTATGTATCAGATACTGCAAGCGATTTGATAATGTTGACACAAAAGTGCTTAATCGTAAGAAGAAGCAAAAGTACAATAAATAAGATTGAAATTTATCAATTAGCTTGATCGATGTGATGAGCAAGTTGATAAGCATTGGTAAAAATCTCGCTGGAATGTTTACTCGCGCGCACGTG